GGCGGCCCTGCGTGTCGGAGACAACTGCATGGCGACAAAATTCTGTTGGCCAACGTCGGAGCGACACCGGTAACCCACGGATCGGGGCAATGGAAAACGTTTCGCGGCTTAACGGACGCGCGACGCTGTGACGTCCGAGCCCGTCGACCGTGACCGAGTGCCGCGGCGGTCGCACGTGCGTGCGTGCGTGCGTGCGTCGGGGTCGGTCCGGCTGCTAACGGGTTCGCGCACGAAGCGTAACAATACCTATTTTACGAACGCCGGTTTGCGATGCGGGTACGTGTATTGCTGCACAGCAGCCCCGTGTCACGTGGTGCCGCGGTCCAATGGCGCGTTGGCGAGGGGGGTTGCGCGCATCTGCTCTTTTTTCTCCTCGACCATCCCCCCCCTCGTCCCGGCGTGCCCGTCGTAGTCGCGCGTACGTGCGCCCATCAGCAGTCGTTGCCGGTTGCGCGTAACGGTCGCGCGTCCACCGACACAACGGTTTGGCAGTACGGTGCAGTAATCGATGGCGGATTTCGAGCGTCTCATACCGGCGGACAGCGAGGACGGTGTCCGCCCGGCGGTGTCCAGGTCGTCGTCGTTCTCGCGAATGTCGCTGGCCCGGTTCAGCCAGCGGTTGCGCCGTCGCGGCGGAACCGTGGGCGCGGACGAACAGGACAAGGAGAACGCCCACGTCACCGGCCACAGCCGTGACCAGCACGTCGTTGGCAAGCGCGTAAAGTTCGACAAACGCGTGTACCACGGGCCGGTGGCGCCGTTGTTCGACCGGTCCGGCGGGGTGCCGTACGCGGCCGTCCGCGGCATACTGAAAACGTCGTCGGGACGCGCCGAGCGCTGCGGCACCGCGGCCGGGACGGCCGGTTACTCGAACCGCGGTTACGACGACACGGTACCGAACCGGATGCGCATGTACGACGTACCGGTGACCAGCTTCTACATCGGCGCTAACGACCACTTGCACCTGCCGCCGGCCGTCAAGAGGTCGAGTTCGGTGGCGGCGTCGGCGGTGGCGGCGCCTTGGCCCGAGTCTTGCAAAAGGACCAGACGGTTTGGCACCGAAATAGGTTCGTATAATGATAGGTTTCGTACCGCGGCCAGTAGTCGCACGGCTTCGACGGCGTCACGCTGGTTTTTTTTTACGTAGGTAACCGCCGTGGCGATTTATCACGCCAAAACCGCAGCAGTGGCAGCTTAGCCGTGCGCCATTCCTCACCCTTATTGACCGTTATAAATGTTCATCGGTTTTAGATTCCTGTTCTCGTATCAAATAATGATGTGACGTACAAAAAGTGATTTTCTAAACCATTTTTTTTCTTTCTTAGTTGGGTTGTTATCACGGTTTAAGATGTATTATTCGTAGTTATACACAGTATTATTTGATTTAAAATTTTTGATAACACACCCAACCGATCCTGCAGTACAGTTTACATGATACAATAACTCGGATCTCGTATGAAGTGATAAATGCTTTAAAATTTTAAATTCTAGAGAAATAACAATATTCTAAACTATCGAAATCGAATTCTGTGAATATCAAAAATTATTATTATTCATTTTTATTCCAATTTTAATTATTTTTTCCGACTAAAATAAAATGTATTTCTTCTACCTAAGTAGTTATGGTTTACTAAATAGTTTACCATTAAGTAATCTTTTTCAAAAAGTTGTCCTTGACTTAAAATAATTGATTAATCTTAATGAAACCACTATATTTATTAAATAAAACAATTTGTAAAAATATAAGTAATTAGTTTTAAAAATTGTTTAAAAAAAAGCTGAGATAAAGATAACACATCTCTCCTGATTAGCTAAGAGACCTTCAAAATTAATTAATAAAAATAATTTTTCATTAAAAAAAGGCTAAAAAAAACCTCATAAACTTGATTGTATTCCCTGATTTATAAATTATTTTTATATAGTGTAAAAGGTAAATAATAATAATAAGAGAAAAAAAATTTTCAGTTTTATATTCATTCCTTTATAAATAATAAAAACATTTGAATCTCCCTCCCCGTTCCAAATTTTTGAATACGCCTTTGCGGCAGCTACTCCGGTTACGAAATTCGTTTTCACAGTACATATTGAAAATTATTTCCACGGCACATAAAAACGGAGTCGATACTGAAGTGCCGTCAGTGCCTTACGATCGCTGTGAATTATAGACTTTATTCCAATGCTCACAAACATATTTCTCAAGTAACTTTTTTGATTTCCAGAGTTCTTTAATTAAAGAAAACGGGGTATCAATAATAATGGAATACATTCGGAGAAAATATGACTATCACAACTCGAAAACTTTTTGCACTCGTACAGTAAAATATTTTTGAACCGTCGAGAGAACATAAGTTTGAAATTAAATCAGTGTTTGTATGTCAAATGTATCCAATAAGTATAATAGGAGACAGATAGAGGGAAATTAGATCTGCAGCTCATCGTACTAAATTTGCATGAACACTATCAAAAGTTTGAGTGCCGCATAAATGATGGAACTATTCAAAAGTTCTAAACAAATTCTAAACAACATATAGAAGTATATGGTGTTAATGGCTGAACAAGCTTATACACCATGTGACAGTAGATATGAATTCCATTTGAAACATTACCATGTCTAGAATCCTTTCGGTGTCTTCATATTCATCTGGTATTTTTTTTTTTTTTAAATTTTTTTTGTTGAATAATTGAACTTTTATGGTATATGCGAATAATGTTCACGTATTCAACACTTGTATGCTGAAGACTTAAGGCGAGCAAAGTTTAATTACTCATCATACATTTTGTATGAATTGTAATATAATATAATAAAACTTTTTGTTTGTGGGCTGAAAACAATAATACCTCTAAATAGTGAATAGTAAGTAGTAAGTAGTAAATAGCAGTCTACATCAGCTACATGTATATTTACTGTATTTTATCGTCGTAATAATTGTTTTCCGTTTACAGTAATCTAAAGTAATAATATAATTAAAACGTTTATACGAATTATTTAAAATCTACCTGTAGTTGTATTTAATAATAACGTTACTTTTTTTTTACCATCTATTTTGAATTGTTTTTTAAAACGGTTACAAGCAGTCCTGTAGTGGCGAATAAAAATCAGTTTAATTTGTATAATACACGCCCGCAAATTTCAGAGTCGGTGTTAGTGGTACATGTTTGCAACAACTCGGTGCGGTTGAATTCATTACGCAACGACATTTCGTGTTTTTCGCACAATACATATTACAATATATCACAGAAAACGAACCGTCCAAAGAATATTATACGGTTCATGTAGTATTTTGAACACCAAACACGTGTATATAACCATATGTAACCGTAAGTATTATAATTTCCCGCGCATGTTTTTCGTTTATTTACATTTTTATTTTTTCATGTATCAGCGTATGACCGTTATTTGTTATTAATTTCAAAGGTCGTACAAAAACGTCGATGATTGGATGATTTTTTTTTAAATATTTTTCTAATAAAACCTTTTCCATGGATATAGATTCTAATAACACATTCGTTTACTTTAAAAGGATCTTTTTCATTTTTTTTTCGGAAATTAATTTTATTACTGTTTATCAATTTTTATTATAAGATTCATTTCGTTTCGTAGCACGGCTGCCTTTTAATAATGAGAAATATCATTAATACACGAGTTGAAAATTAACTTCGTAGAAAAATAGTTTTGAACCGACGTTTAAAGATTTAATTTAGATTCGTTCCTAGGAAAGAAAAATATATACTCGCAATTACAACAATATGAAAGGTACATCTAAAATAATTATATTTATAATTTTAAATTACGACGCTTACAACTGACGACGTTTCCGCAACAACCGCAATAAATTATTTGAATGTGAATATTAATTTGAAATAAATCTATCCTTTATAAAACACCTTTTAGGCTATATTAATGCTGTACGGGTCTCTTATAATTTAACCCAATTGCATTATTTTATTTTTCAGTTATCGTGTTATATAGTACACGGTTTAAACGTTTTTCAGTTCTGAGCTCAAAGATAAAAACGCGGTAATCAAGGATTACAAATTGATTGATTACCGCTCCGTATCAACGAAAAAAATATGTATATTCATAAATAAATCAATCTTGTAATTCACGTTTGACTAACAAATAATATTTAAATATATAATGTTGACAAAAATATCAGTGTTTATTTCTTTATCATTAAAAATCGTATACAGAAATAGAAAAATTTACAAAATTAGAAAAATAAAATCTGTTACTGTTAACGGTTTGAACACGAAAAATGTACATTTTTATCTGCTATATGTGAAAATACCCATATTATATTGTTTGAGACATTATTACATTATATATTACATTGTTTACACAATTTTTAAGCAAATATATATTCAAATTGCGAAACTCTTAATGCTTTTCATTTCAGATTGTATAAAGTTCGAGTGATGAAACATATATTTACATTGAATATGTGTGTATAAGATCAAAAACTTGTTCCACGCCAGAAAATATTATAACGTTTAATTATTTATAAACTTCGAAATCGCGTAATTTTAAAATTATTCATTATACCATTAAACTGAAAGAATCTAACATCGACTTCACTCGTATGTACGTACGTATTTAGTGTAACATGTCTTATATTGTAATGGCATGACCAAAAATGTTTGAAACTCACTTGATAATAAGTGTAATATGAACAAGATGTAGTTTTTTGCGACGGTTAAATCCTGAATAATAAGGTTCGTTAGTGTTTGCAAGGTTACTACCACACGATGGTTCTTCGGATATAATTTAGTCGGCTCTGTCAATATTGCCATTGAGCAAAATCAGTAAAGGGCACAAAGAGAATTGTATTAATGAGCAATTAACAACATTTGTGTATGCCAACTCGTCGTAAATTGTCATTTATTTTTTATTGCATAATTATTTATGAAACAATTATTATTCAAAAAAACATCGTAAAAATATGGGGGAAACACATTGAATAATAATACAGTTAGTTTCATTATGTGAATGTTTTGTTTAGGAACCTCAATATCGTCGCTGAGAAATAATAGCTCCAGTTCGGAGACACAGACAAAACAACGTCAACATCACCTGAAGGCACGAGAGTCTCAAGTACATAACATCAACATTCATTTGCACGGTAAACTAAACATTTATTTACACTAATCTTAAGTCACATAAATTACATAGTAAACCTCGTGGTAGGTGTTCAAGATGGTCTGTTTGTCACGTTTATCGCGGCTATACCACGTGAGCCGTTGTTATATATAACAATAGTACGACTACTATTATGTTACATACCATCCGCAAGAATTCGAGAAAATAACATTTGTATAAATATACCGTGTCAGATAACTAAAATTATATATTTGTATTATATTAGAGGGTGCTTTGGTCTTACGGTGAGAATGCAAAATCGTTGCAAGAATTTTACCAACGCCAATTGAAAAATGTTTTAATGTAATAATTTGCTAATTTAGACGTTACGGAGTTACGTGAAATGTCTGGGTCCAAGACAGAAGTTCATTCTTTATTTCCAAATAAAATTTTATATCATATATAATCAACATTATTTAATTACGAACATCTAATAAATTAACATTTGTAGGTACATAAACAAATTATACATAGTATATAACATTGCAATGCGAATAATAGCTTTAATTTAAAATAATTTACTTCATTAATTTGTTTTGAATAACTATATTTATTAAATTGCATTTGTACAATATCAATACCATGCACTCGTATGTAATAGTGTACTAGTAATGAACATTACTCGTAACATAATAATATACTTACTACATATATTTATACATAAAATAAATATTCAAAATAATTAAACTATTTTATAAATAACAAGTATTATTGTTCATTTCTCTGTCGTTTTATTAGGACTATTCGCTGCTGTAGAACATGGTCAATTGGAAAAAGCAAAAAACATATTGTCCACATGCGAGGTTCAAGTGAATAGGTAATGTAATACTTTGTTAAAATATTTGCAAATCTATAACTAATGGTTCCACTAATATTTATTTGTTTTGTGCACAGTGTAAATAGCGATGGGTTGACGCCTTTAGACGTTGCTTTCTTAAGCAACAATAGAGAATTAGTTCGACTTCTGTTGATTCACGGGGCCACGGAAGGTAAAGTGAATAGAAAATATTCCATTTCAATTCAAATTGAAACAATTAAAAATTGCATTATTTGTATTGCTGTTCTACAGAGACTAGTATGAAAAATTTGGAACCTCACCTGATGAACTTACTTGGTGAAGCAGAGAGACGTGTTCTAGAGCTCAGGCTATGCGGCAACCAAGATAGTGTACAGACCAAGTCCCTAGTTCTTTGGGAGAGACGAAAAAGAGGCTTGAAGAAAATGCTTATTGGTTTTGAACATGCTAGTAAGTACCTACTCGTTTATGTTTTAAAGAAAATATGCTGTAAAATATAATTTGAAGAGGAATAAAAGATCAATTAGACACGTACGGTATACATATACCGGTATGCTGGTATGATATTGGTCTTGAATAAGAAAATATCTCGAAGAGCATATAATAATCGTCAGAGATGACTTTTAAATATTCATAAAAAAAAGTAAACAATGTTCGAGTTAATAAAACAATGTATGTACGTGAGGTTTTATGAGTTCCGAGAATTATACTTTGGTCCTTGAATCCTCTAGATGTACAATTTACGTTTAGTAGACAACATTTTAATATATACAAATACTTATAATAACAGGAAATTCTTAAATAAATATTTTAGTTAAGCTGTTAATACTCAAGAAAATTTAAATTTGAAGTAAAATAGTTTGAATTTTGGTGCTATAGCGTATAATTTTTCAATGTTTTATTTACTTCCAAGGAAAAATTGTAAAAAGTAGGAATACAATTTTTTAAACATAAAATATTAATATGAAATTATATTCTGTATTAGTCATATAATATTATTCAAAATGCAATTACTTTAATATTATATAGTAGATACAATGAATGTAATACAATTATTTATTAAAGTATTGTACGCATAGTTTTTGTAACGCTATGAAATATTAATTAATATATTAACTCTCAACGAACGTTATACAACGAATAATAAAATATTCCATTAATTAAACACATTTGTATTGCAGAACCACCAGATAAACCCGAAAAAATCATCGTGGAGGTAACGGGAAACGATAGCGTTAGAGTGTCTTGTGTAGAAGCTGACAACCAAGAAAGCGCTATATGTACAAAATTCAATGGTGAGTAACGAATACCTGTATAAATATGAATTTCAAACTGGAATCAAAATATTGATTATATAGTTATAATGTACTATAGTCATAGATAACTAACTATATATATAGTACTTAATTACTTTCGAAAGGTACATTATAGATTAATTATATTTTTAACAAATATCTAAGGATTTTAATGAAAGTCCTCATCGATAAGATGCAATCATTCATTATTTTTATTAAATTGTTTTAGAATAATCATTTATTCAGTTATTTTACAAATAAATTATATATATATATATATATAAATACATATTGTATAGTTATGGAAGTTTATTTTTTTTACTTTCGTAGTCGAGTGGAGTACATCAGAATCCTTTAAAAACCTAACAGGGTCTAAATGTGTACCCGCTACCGATGGCGAAATCACCATAAGTAATTTGGAACATGGAAAGACTTACTACTTTCGATGTAGTGCTGGAAATTTGAGAGCATTTAGTGACTTTCAGTATCCAACCCCAGCCTTCGTCACTATTTCAAGTGAGTTTGTCAATGTTACCCTAATTATTGATCAAATATTTGGCAATGGTCTATATGTTTAGGTTGGTGGGATGTCAGTCAAGAATCTCGTCGATGTTCTGCTGCCATAAAAGTCAAGATGGATGATATACTTGACAAAATGATCTCCATTCGTCCAGACCTACATAGGTCGTTGTTCGAAGTCAGTGGAAACGACTGTACATTGAACACGAAAAGAAGAAAGCCGCCGACGTTCAAACAACTGTTCAGCGGCAATACTAAACTTCATAAGAATCTCCGGAGGTACTCTCAATCTTAGCTATTATTTCAACCTAGACGCAATCAGTATTGTAAATAAAATTTATTCATTCTACAGAGGTGTATACCTTTCTTGTCTACTGTACCACGAAGACAAAGTTCTGGTGACCAACGAGGACTACTTACCTGTGGTAGAGATTGACGACACGTACCCAAAAGAAATGCTCAACGATTTCCATTGGTTCTACAAAATAGCTTTCGCGTGGAAGGATCTCAAATGGTTTAAGGAGGAACTGGAAAAATCAACAAATAGTTCGATTAGCTTCAGGACAAAACTCATTCAAGCCGTTACACAAATGCAAGTAAGTCTTGATTCCATCGTCAAAAACAATATTTAACTACATTTAAGCATCTACGTTTTCATATTATTGTATTAAAATCGCAGGACATTTTCAACACGCAAGACCTAGGTAAAGTGTACTATAAACCGATCCGTGACTCGGATGGTACAACTGTGATATGTACGGTTAACAACGTATGTCAGCCAAAAAACGTCGTTAATCTAAAATGGACGCCGATAGCTAAGATTAAGAAGAAGTCGTCTCGTTCCGATAATCTTACCGATTTGTTGATATCATCTATCCAAGTAAAGTCACATAAACACATTGATTTCAGAATAGTAATTAAAAATTTATCTGAACAGGACCAGATTATGTTCTACCAAACAAGTTATACTAAACTACAGAAGGGCTTATATGTTGGATATTTACTAATGAGAAGCTCAGTCGATATGCTACATGTAATGGTACCTATGCAAAATCCCAACATGCCAGTTTGCTGCAAAATACGAGATAATTCGCACATCAACGCGTAAGTAAAACCTTAATGCTAAAATTCATAAGTCCAAAGTTGTTTTAAAAAACAAACTTCATAAGACGAAATCTAAATCATCGATGTCACCATTTAACAGTTATGCTATATAAAAATCGATATCGTTTTAAATTAATTCTTCACAATACATATTTTTATTTTTCAACGATCAAAATTAAATGTTTTTTTTTTATTTTTTAGGGAAGAATGGTTATGGCTTCAACAGGGCGCCGGGGCTCCAAGCGAATACAAGTGTCTCGGTTTTGCTTCGCAGTTCAAGGTGGCGACCAATCAGCTATTTTCACTGGTCCAAATACCTAAGGACAAACGGACGGTGCAACGGGTTTACACCAGTGAAGTTATCGAAGTAAATCAAGATGTCAGTATTATCATGATAGTACCACCTGCGGAAGTCGCTTGTGCTGTGGGTGAAGGTAACCAGTCACCTGTTAATCTGCATCGGATCAAACTGATACCGCTCAGCGTTCAAGTGTTTGAAATGATACACTTCGGTACATACCGGGCAGACACATTGCTCTTATATGCCCGACTTTCCAGCGTCGTGCAGCTGGACTCAGACGACGCACGATATTCTATCAGACAAGCCTGGAGCTCGTCAGATCTGGAGGTGGCGAAACAACGGTTGGATTCCGTGGAAGCGCTCGAGACGAGCTTAAACGCGGCCTGGAAACACCTGCGATGGTTATTAGACGTGATGAACTTTGCACGGGAGAGATTGTTCCAATCGCAAATATCCAATTCCAATTGTTCCAAGAGTGCTAGCAATAGTCAACTGGAAATGAAGTCTGCCAAAAGCAACTCGGTAAGCACACTGAAAACTGTACATTATATAAATATAAATAGCCATCTAAACCTCTGTAGTTCTGATTACTATTGACGGATTTGCGATTTGCAGCTGTTGCAATTGCCCGATACGAAATTGGTCAAATCCCGTGGTAGTTGGCCAGGACCAGGATTAAACTCGATGCGAACGCTGGAGTCCGTGTGCCCGGAGATAAGTCGTAGCGAACAATACCTATCGCCGCCTGCCCACGACCGCGATTACGGGTTGACCAACAAAAAAAGTTGTTCCTCAGAAACTAGTAACGGTACGCTACTATATAAAATATAGTTGTTTTGTATCCGTACGCGATTAAATAGACTTGCTGTTTTGTCAATTTTCTCATATTATGGCGTTGGTTCGATTTCAGATAGTAAAGACGAGCCGGAGTACAACGACGCTCAAAGTTCGGATCCGGATTTATCGTCAAGGATACCCAATCACGTTTCGTAAGTTGTCCGTTAAATACCAGACTCATGTACATCATGCAATGTTCGTTTGACTAAATTTCTTTATTTTTTCAGAACCAAGGACCTTATTAAAGTGGACGACGAGAGATTTTCTGACGCTACGATTAAAAGCGAATCGTTGGTACCTGTTCCCGCACCTGGAATCATTGAGGTATTTTAATATTACGTTTAATATAATATTATATGATCCCAATGGTGATGTAAAAGTCATCGTTCACTGACTTGAACGAAGCAAACCGTGCATGAGTTTCATATACAAGACCAGGAATAGATGATATTTTAATCTTTTTAAAAAAATTGCGATTAGTACACATAAAAGGATTTCAAAATATTAATCAAGATTTCTGATCCTCTCCCTCGATCTTCTAATACACCAATCTATTTTTGTACAAAACAACACTCCTGTCCTACCATTTGTAGACTCGATGCGCGTCTAATAACTATCGACGTGTTTACCAGGTGTGCGCCGCCTACGAAACTGGTCTACCGCATCCCCCCAGTCTCAAATTACACATTAGCCCGATGACGTCGGCTCGCGAAGTGGTGCAGCTGTTTCTGCAACAATTGAACATGTCCGTGGTGGTCAAAGGCAAATCAGGCCCGATATACCCGAGCTCAGAGTTCGGAAATTTCTGTCTAGTTTCAGTGACCGGGGCCCGGGAACGGTGCCTACGCGAGGACTTCAAACCGCTCCAACTGACAGACCCGTGGCGAAACGGCCGCTTGTACATCCGGCATAAACAGGACCTGCTGGCCGCAATCGAGCTCCACTCTTCTATACTTACAACGACTACTGTAAAACATCATTGATGACGATATAGTGATGGTGACGATGATGATTACAACTATTATGATTTCTCTACGGGTCTTGTACCGGCGAATAATTTAAGTGTTCTAAAAAAGACCCATCCTTTGTTTTTTAAATAATTACTTAATTTTAAATATTTTATTATACCATAAAATGTAATCAAAGTATTTATAAACTATGTATAAAAAAAAATTCGAATATATACATTATTATATCACAAGTATTATGCACATTTTTATGCGTCACGTGAGGTTTAAGTAACCCATTACTCCTCAATGCGTGATATCTGTAAAATAAATTTAATAATAGCCAACCACCATGTTGAAAACTATGTAAGTACTTTGTATAATAATCCTTAAAAACTTCGTTATTGGTGTGAAACCATGTAAAAGCAAATCATTTAGAAAAATTATTATGTTATTGTATTTTCGAAGAAATCATAGTTCACTAAAGTATAAAAATATTATACAGGTATATATTATAATATAATTAAGGGTACAGGGAAAAAACCAAAAAAGTCACTTTTTTTCCATAATGGTTATTTTGGTACCAAATTATTTGTATTGGCATATTCTATAATTCAAGAAGTCAAATCTGGGAAAAAAGCAGATTAGTCGTGAGTTATGACCACCGAAAGTTTTGGCATACAGGCAAAAATTATTAGGTTTTGAAATTAAAAACACGTTTTTCTCGAAATAAATAAAAAGTGACTTTTCTGGTTTTTTCTTATACTCTTAATGACAGAGCCTTAATGGTAATCGTGTATATGTACTCATTGTATTTGTTTCATAATATTATTAATATTAAATTATTTTGTGTCAAGTTATATTTTTATATAATATATATTATATTATATTATATTATAATATATAATATATATTATGAAACAAATACAATGAGTACATATACATGATTACCATTAAGGATCTGTCAAACAGAACACGTATGAAAGCGTGAATTACCATCGCTAAGTTGTATTCGATCACAAAACAAGCGTGGTAGTGCATTATTTTTGGCGTTCAGACAATGGTGAAAGAAGGAATACCTACATAAATACGAACATAAATAAATGTTTATAATAAATAATTCGCTTCCTTTTTTTGTTCTTCTTCGTCTGAACTAACGGACGTATTTTCATTATAAACCACACTTTGAAAACGAAGATACGAACAATACTACTATATTGACTAGAACCAGTCTATAATGCAACGCTTTTTAATTTTTGTGTGACTTGGATAACGTCAACAATAGTGTTAAAAGAATGCGACGTTAACAACGCGTTCTGTTTGACAAGGCCTTTAATCTGATAATGAACAAATAAATGATATACGTATAATAAATACACCACTTCTTCGGACGACAATATTTGTGCGTACGACGTGATCAGAATAACACGTAGTACATTACATGAGCAGCAACACATTTTATTCTTTTAATAACATAGGTACACTCGTATATTTCAATGAATTAAATTTAAAATTAAAATTTCTTAAGTCATTAATAACATTGTATAGCATCTAGCATAGGGTTGCCATAAAAGTTCAAGTACTGACCGGGACATTTACAAAAATAATTTAAACAACCTTTTTTTTTTTTGCTTTCATTGTCGAACTAAACAGTGTATACTGAAGGTTCTTTAAATAAAAAATAACCTTTTTTTTGAATATTTTTTTAATTATAAAAATTAGAACACGGTGTGATGTACCTGGTCTATATATATAGAATAAAATAATAATAGCATTGAATTATGAAAAAAATTAAATTAGATGATACATTTGATTAATGAAATAATATTTATTTATTTATTTTGAAATATTATATTTTTCTGACTTTTTCACCTGTTTCAATAGCTCTGATTTTCCTATAACATACGTATGAAATTCCGAACAAGTCATTTTGAAATTAAATTTGCATTGAATGATACTTTCTACAGTTTCTACTTGAAGACGGTTACGTTCTTTTGTCCACTGGGCCATTATAAGTGAAAATATCCTTTCAACATTAGCGTTATGACCAGGAATAGCATATAAGTATTGGCACATCGCAATTAAATTACGTTTTCTTTCCAATATATCAGTTTTTTGAAAGAAAAGTACCCATTTGTCATGCATGGTTTTTTTATTCCAATCTTCATCAAATTTCTGTTTGTCAATGAAGTTTTTAAGATACAATATTTCTTCAAAGCAACTATCTGTGGTATCAATTCCCTTTTCTTTTAAATAATTTATTGTCTTTTCAAAGTCTTGCCATTGCAACGAAAAAGTAAGATCTATCCATGAAAATACCTAAAATGTTATAAGAGGGTTACTCCACTGTTGTAAATACTCCTGTGTCGTTTTGTAATAATTATCGATTTCTTCATCGAAACAAAAAGCTGAGCATCGTTTTTTATTTTATTTTATTCAATTTTAGTTTTGATTCCCAAAAAGTAAGCTTCGGCGCGTTCTGAAAGTGTTTGTTCAAAATCGTTTATAATTTTTTTGACTTCTATAATGGTAATATCAGATTTTTCTATTTTTTTGATTTGTTTTTCAAATAAAAATGTTTGACAATGTAAAAACAAGAAATAAATTTGTGACAACGGATTGTTGAAAAAATCGACGATTGCTTTTGGTGGTCTTGTTTCTTCGAGAAAAAAATTTTTAAGTGGTTCCCATAACTGTAGAATACGTTCAATTGCTGGCAACAAAGACAGCCATCGAGTTCTCGAATTAGACTGTAAATTAGCATAATGTACATCAGCCTCCTCACAAAATGATTTACGACGTTCATTTCTTACAATAAATATGGAAAAATATTTATAAATTTTAAGTACATGGTGTGCCGGTCGCCGGCCGTCGCGTCGCGTCCGGACGCCGTGCAGATCGCGACCGCTCGGGTGCTGATCAGGTTCCCGGACGGTAAGGGGTTCTCGCCGGTCCCGTGCTCCTCGCGCAACCGTTCTTGCACGTTCACCATCCATCCCGACCCGGTGTTCGCGGACTTCCACGTGGAAAACGAATCGGTCGCGATAAACGCGATCGGTTCGAACCGGGGCTACGGGGCCGACGACCTGACCGTACGGTTCCCGAACACCGCCAACCGGTGCGTCGTCACGGAAACCACCCCCGACCGGGTGCTGTGCGCGCCGTCCTCCCCGACCGTGAACCTTACCGATCTGACCGACCTCGTCGTGACCGTGGGCGAACGTCTCCAGCGCCGGGTGACCAGAAAGCGGATCGTCGACGGCAGCGATTGGTTGCCCCTGGGTTTCTCGTGGACGATCGTCACCGCCCCGGCCGTCGTCTCCGTGTCGATAATCGCGGTCCTTTTGTGCTTTTGCCTCGGCAGGAAACAGCGGTACGATATCCGAACACCGAACGATGCGTCCGAGTTGCGACCGATATACCACCAATCGCTAAAACCCGTCATGTCGTGAACACATGACGTGTTTACGAACTTTGCGCCCCCCGAGTCAACAGTATGTGTACGCCCTTCCCTCCAAAAAGAGAGTTACACTATCTTCTCAATCTTTTACATTCTCAGGCTCATTTTACCCAACATTTTTAGATAAAAATTTCAAGCGTTCAAACATATGATAATCATATTGTAATAATCGATAATATTCGATGGTTCGAGATATCTTTTAAAATAATACGAATTATAATTATACGAGCCAAATGTCTATTTTTTTATTATATAATCCCGAACATGCCCAACTAGAGAGGGGGGGCACTCGGGTATTTGTCCCTGGGGCACGGGTATCCTCAAGGGCCCGGAACGGTCCAGAAGAATAACTGTATTAATTTGATAGAAGCTTTTTCAAAATGGTGCAACGTGCAAATAAAAATCTATACGTTGTATCAATACGTTAATACGTTCAGGATATATGTATCCATTTGTTTATTATTATTAAACTTGTGAGTTGCGAGTTGATTTTTCCATTGGTATTATGTATTTTAAATAGTGAAAAAAATATTGGTAAAAAATAGCTTATATTTTACTTTTTTTAGAGACTCATTATAAATGTTGGGAATAAATATTGAAAAGACGGAGTTCAATGCGGCATGTAGAATGTTTCCTTCTATTTAAATATAAAAAAAAAATGAAATTTGGTTGATTCTACGGGGTAGGATCACTATTTTCGTTGAGTGTATTTTTGAGGTTAAAACGACTTTGGCACCAGGCATCCCTAGTTACAACTATCTTAATTGTATTCTTCGAAATGCGATAAGAATTATTTTTGTATTTTCTTACGAATTTTCCTAAGGCTACCCGTAACAGGGCTCGACGAGTGCTGAGCGCTCATTCAGCGTTCCAGCTCGAATAAAAAATCATTGTAGGGCCACTATGGGCCAGAAAAGATTTAACGGTCTTACTATTTTGGCTGTTGAAAACAAAACGGCAAGAACAATTTTATTACGATGACACAATTGAAGATTTTGCACAACAAAAGGTGCAAAAAGCGAATTTTCTTTAGTAAAAGACTGTAGTAGACTCTATCTCTTGCAAATCCACTTCGCTTCATTTCAAAATTCAAACTGATATCCCGGACACAAAAATAAAAGATACACATCATGATGTAAACCAGTAAATTTCTCGTTTTACTCAGAATCTGAAATCTTTATACTTACTTGATGCCTAGAAATTAACTATAACATAAGTCTAATTTTTTATAGTAGTATAATACATTCAAATATAAATATTTAAACGAAAATACTTACCCGTGTCGATCACGGTGTTCAATATAATTTTTCGAGTCTTTGTCATGTTCAAATCCTGTGGTCCTGGTAACACAAGATTTACCGCATAAAGAGATAAGCGAAGAGGCGTAACATCGAAAATACAAGAAGTTTCTGAACATAAATACTGAATCATGTGCTAGAATAGTCCAATCATTCGAATCTTCATTAAAACAATATAATACATTACAATGCAACGTGATCCGGTTGATATAACCTAACCTTCCGTACGCTATACGATTTTTATTATACTTTTTAATCGTCATATATTTATTTTTGAAGATTCGTATGTACATATTTAATCTTGTATGTATTCATATGTCCTTTTTTCCGCCGTGTAGGAACCAACATGCGTACCTACCTACCTGGTTTTTACCGTGCAAGAACTTACATATATCCGTATAGCAGTGGCGAACGCAGGAGAAGATTTGGGGGTTAACCCCCCCCCCCTCAAATATCCGGTTCAAAAAATAAATTACCTGACCTCCTAACCTGACCTAGTTCACCAGATGAAAATAAAAACCACTCGAAGCCAGGACAAGTCACAGTGACACCGATGCATCACGATGTCTGTTTCATATGCAAAAAAAAATAAAATCCCAGGTAAACCGCAATAAATATTGAGTAGGTTAAACTATTGAGTTATAACTGAAATTTAGAAATAACCTTACATCCAAATCGCTATAGCTTGTACATCCAAGTGTAACCCTGTCCACCACCGTACCGTCCACTTAAATTTGAAGTATTACATCCGCAATATCTACACATAGGAATCGACGCCACTCATAGAGTAAGAATGTATGGCGCCACTATATGAATCACATATATCAGCTGATAAAGTTCCGTAATGAACTGATAGAAAAGCAAATGCTATCAAAATCCATAATATAATAATAATAAATTTATATTGAATTGTTTTACTTCGTGGATCCCTTAATAAAAGAGCTGAAAACATGGCAGTCCCTCTTGGTCCTCCTATAGGTATATTAAAAAAAAATAACCTGCGTACATTAATGCATATTTTATCTTTTACTATTGAGAAACTATTTTGTACAAGTTAATTAAGTTGCTATTGTTCTTGTTATGGTTTAATGGTTAGTATTTGGTAAAAAGAAATTTTTAAATTTTTTCTTAACATCATTCAATGTAGCAGTAGGAAAATTGTAGGTATTCATTTCTTTTTTTTTTTTTTGTTGTATCCATATTTTTATCACATTTTATTTCCCACGATGCAGGATGATCACAATTAACTTAATCACATTTTAAAATAAAATTTCGTTCCTAATTTCTATCAGAAAATGTCATTTGAACATACGATTTAACTGATTTATTCAAAGACACACATTTTTTATCATAAACAATTTAGAAACTTTGTTGACAAAATATTAACAATATTATTGATAATTGCCTCCAATAACACAATAATATTGACCACCTATCTATTAATAAATATCAAAATAATTTTGATTGTTTCAATAAATTGAACAGATTTAGTTCAATCATGCTCTAGGTATATATTAATGTTTATAACATAAAATGGTCCTCTGTCTCTAATAAATACCCGGAATTTGCACCAAATTGGTGGTTATTACTTGAATGGTTACTTATTTAAGTATAAGTTGTTTAGAGTGAATTAATATGCTATTAATAATTATTAGTGAGCATGCAGTGTTCTAAACAGCGATCACTACAATTTTGGAGCGTAATTATTCTTTAAATTTAATAATGTTAAAAATAAAATTTTATATGAAAATGGATTATATAATTAAAATATAATATTTTATCATCTTAAAATACACATTAATTATAAAACAAATACATTTTGTGATTCGCTTGATAGTTTTGTAGATGTAACTACATTTTAACTTGATGTTACTTAATTGTAAACAAATCTCTATTAATTTACTTGTTGTACAATAATTGTACATAATTATGCAGATGAAAAATTCATTCAAGATCATTCAATTTTTTCCTCGTCTAAAATTTGTATTCGCACCAATACATTCTTTATAGATATTATGATTTATAATAAAATTAGAAAAAATGAAATAAAAATGAAAAATCAGTAAATGACTAATACTCATAAATTAATAAATTAACTAAGAAATAGTTTATATATAGAAATAAATAAATAAACAAATGCTTAGCTTGAAATATTATATTTGTAAAGTACGGTCAGTTTCAAATTAAAAATTCATCATCTAGTATATACAGTCCATAAAATCGCGACTCAATAAAGTAGAGGGGACATATAGATTCAGATATACCTAATTGATAATTATAAAATAGAAAATATAATAGTAATATTGATATTCATTTTGATTTATTGAAGATAACAAATTTATGAACATTATATTATGCTGGTCAAAGAATTTGAGGAAAAAAGAAACCAATTGTTTTCATAGTGATAATAACTGAATGGTGCCTCTATTTGAAACAAATTGTTTTTATAATTGAGCACATTAAAATCATCACATATTATTATATTATGTATTAAATATATAATATATATATATATATATATATATATATATATATATATATATATATAAATTACATATTAAATAGACTAAAAGATCATTAATATTTAAATATTGTTAATAATATAATCAATTTGACAGATATGTAAAGTTAAATATTTATTATATATTACTATTAGGACACCACTACATCATAGTTACTAATTGACAAACTCCTAACATGGCGATAAATATTATAGTTATTAAGACCTAATTCAGAGATATAAATATATGGTGACAACTCAATTTCAGATAACTAATAAAATAAAATTTTACGAAGACAATTTAGAAGAATGAAATTTAAAATGTTCCTCAATAAATGTTGAAACAAAATAATATGAATGACCATGACCCTCTTCCAGATGGAATTCAATTTTAATTTTATTATCTTTACACTCATTTGCTGCTTTTACAAAGTTATCAATTAATAGATCCTCCTTCAAGAATTCATCATCAGTACCCTGTTAACATTAAACACAACATAAGTATGATAAAAAAATGTACTTATAAAATTTAATATAATATATTAATTTGCTTGAATACTAACTACATGTATTAATATTTGCATTTCAGGGCCATCATAGTATTTAACTAAGAATGTTGGATCCCATTTTTCCAAAATTTCCTTGTCTTCTCCAATTAATGTTTTTAATCCAGGGAGCAATGTTGGTGAATTAGAAATATTGCAAGCTGGAGCAAGAGCTGACACTGATTTAAATTTACCTGGATTAAGTAAACTACACAACAATGCTCCATGTCCTCCCATACTATAATACAAAACAATAATTTTATTAGGTTAATTGTTATACTTGTATTATTAATTCTACTAATAAAATAACCTGTGTCCAGTTATAGATATTTTATCCTTTATAACTGGAAAATTGTTTTGGATAAGTTGAAAGAGTTCTTCTGTTATGTATGTGTACATCTGATAGTGTTTGTTCCACGGTTCTTGTGTAGCGTTTACATACATGGATGCACCTGTCCCAATATTCCAAGTATCATTTTCACCAGGTATGTTACAGTTTCCTATATAAATAATACAGTTTTAACAACAACAAAATAAGCAATTAAAGTTATATAAGACCATATAGGTATTTTCAACAAATCATTTATATAAGTATCCATAATAACATGTTACACAAAAAAATAAAGGTTAAAATGGTTCAGACATATTAAAAAGAAAAGCAATAAACAAAACTAGAGGAATTATGGATTGGCAACCAGAAAGAAATTGACCAAGGAGAAGACAAAAGAATGCTGTATAGATGACATTTATGACTTTACAAAATTATACCATATACAATTACAAGACCTAAAGTGACTGGAAATTGCTAACTAGAAAGAGTTGGTCCAAGATCGTGGAATTTAGAGGGCATTGACAGTGGCATTTTCAGGGAGGAGTTATTAGTATATAATATTTATTTTTTGAAAGAAATTATAATATAAATAAAAATGTTTTTTTACTGCTTCATAATAATTACTTGAACTTCTGTCAAAAGTAAAATAGTATTATTTTTTTTAAATTATATGAAATAAATTAACTTTGAACATTCCAATTCAAAAAATATTATTTATTTATTCTTTCACGTAAATTCTTAAAATATGGGGCTATTAAAGCAACTTGTTAATAAGTTCACTTACTAGGACTAGTATCTGGAGCAACTACAATTATTTTATATTGTGCAGCATATTTTTGAAATCCTGCTTTAGTGATGACGTTTTGTTCAGTACATGTAAGACCTGATAAGTAAAATAATACAGGGAATTTTTCATCTTCCTGCTCTGAAGGTGGAATGTAAATACCAAACTTCATGGTACATTGCAAAGCATTGCTGAAAAAAGTATACATAACTTCTTGATAGAATACATTAACTCGTTATTAATTACCAATAATGTTAAATATATATGATTATTTTTTTACCTGAAATGTTCATATACTTTTTGATAACCTCCAAAACTCTTATTATTTGAAACACATTTAATTTCTGATTCAGCAACCATTATACCTACAAATTAAAACACCTAATTTTAACATAAATAAAAAAATAAATAAATATTGATATAATATAAATTTATTAGATACTAGCAATATTAATGATAAATATATTTTTATTCAAAATTAATACAGATACAAAAGAAATGCTAATTAATCTGTTATTGATAATGACACATGATATATTAAGAATTTTATAATACTTCTTAGTATATATTGTTTTCTGTTCTATCTCCTATTAAAATTAAAACCATTAGATGATTTGGTTCCCCAGTTCGAGAAAATCCCAAGTATAATTGTTCATGTAAAAAGCACTCTGAACAATGATCTACGCCAACGTACAAGTACCTAAATTTTTGACCTAGAGCTTTGTTAATCGTAATCGCAAAAGAACTTTAATAAGGAATTCTTCCACATTATTTACGATCTATCCAATTGTGTGGTTGATAGAAATGTAACCATTTTCATTTTCTTAAGTTCTATTTCCAATTTTAAACAACTATACTAAAAAAATATTATTCCCTCTGCATAAATAAACTCTCATGTTTGTTCGCTAATAGAGTTTTTTGACATTGCTCCAAATAAAGATTTTAAGCAAACATTAATGACATCAGCTTCAGTGCCCTGAAGTGATAATGTTGGCTGAAATCACCAGCAAAATCAAACGTTATGCCACCCATAAGCTTATTGATCACCTAAGTTTTTTTAAAGTTTGATCAATTGCTTCAATATGTGCTCTGTATCTCATTCCACACAACAAATGAAGTTTCTCGAAGAATTTTTCCACTTGGGCCATTTTTACGAATCGGATAAACAAATTCTCTGTCAAATAATACACTTAATGGTAACTTGAAAGTCGAGTGAGCAGTTCTGCCGCTACTGAGGAAAGTTGCTGCTATACCTGATGAAGCAACTGCTAATGTAGCTTTTCCTCAAAATCAAATTTAAGCCAACAACAAATTAATTAGGAATGTTTTTCCTGTACCACTCAAAGTATCTAAAAAAAAAAAATACTCTTCTTTGATGATTCATTATGCTTTCCGTAATAACATTAAAACTTATTTTTGATCATTTAGTTTCTGTAAATTGATTTCTACAAATTCTTGTAATTGGTTATTATCGTAAGAACGCCTAATCAAGAATTCAAAAAGATCAAATGCATTTTCATTTCGAACAGGTTTAAATATTTTTTAGACAGACAAACAACTTTATCTTTTATTTCAATTAAACCTCTGTTAAATATTTCATCAGAAAAATTTAATTGCAAGTCATTTAATTGAATGCATTCTGTATAAAGAATATCTTCACAAAAATAATTTCTGAACTGTTGAAGATTGAGGTTCAGATGGTTGGCAGAAAATTATGATTTTTGCAAATAATCCTCTTAACATAGAAGGACTTGCTGAAACAGTTCCATCTGTTAGAGCGTTTTTCCATTGCTCAACATTTTCTAAAAGCACAAGAGCAAAACAGACAGCTCTAAGTCACGTGAATGATCCCATCAATGTTCCTCAAGCTTTCAAATTAAGTAGGACCTTGTACATTATTTAGAAATAATCTTAAATGGAATTACTCACGTTCTGATGTGTTCTTTTGATGCATTCTGTTATACATTCAATTAGCATTGGCAGTTTTTCTACCAATGCATGCTCTTGACGCTCTCGGCATGTTGATGAAATATCAACTTACCCCAAATTTAACTTCGCTATCATACCCAATAAACCTTCTAAATTAGTATCAAAAAGTATCTTTAATTAAACTAAAACAAAAACTATGTTTGTAACTTTCATGAACATAAAATTGTAAAAATGATAAATAGTGTTATAAAAAAATGGAAACAAAAAAGATATGTTTTTGAAATTTTCAAAAATTTTAAACTTATTTTTTATTAATAAAAGTGGTACTAAAACCTTCAGCAGACATAAGGTATAACAGTAAAAAATGTCAGCCAAATCGGTTCAGTGGTTTTCTCGGTTATCATGGTAGTAGAAAACCCATTACAATTTTATATTTCTTTAATTTAAATTCTAGTTACCGGAAATGTACAATATACATATTATACAGAGATTAGTACTAGAAGTTATTCTACAATGAGATGGAATCTTGTGTCATAGAATAAGAGTACTTATTTTTATATTTTATTTAATAACTATATAAAAGAAAAATAAATGTAACTAGATAATCAAAACATATTTAACTTAAATTAATTGAATATAATAAGAAATAAATTAGTGTTGAAATTTACATTTAGAAACTTACATTACTATATAGTTAAAGTTTAATATAAAGCCAATTTTTTAATTTATATTTAAAATGTTAACATTTTGAACAAATAAGTGATTCTCTTGAAATCGCATTAAGAGACCTTAAACCAATTTTCGTATAAAAGACATTGAAACTTTTTTAGTGCTAATAAATGGTATTTCAAGTTTATTTTTCTGAAATTATATAGTTGATTTAAAGTAGGTATTAAATAAATTATTTTATAAATTAAGCATATTGCTTGTTTTTGTATAATTTATTAATATCAAGTATATATAGCAGTAGAGATTTGTTTCTTTATTATAATATCTATGTAAAGCTAAATTATATCCTTAAATTAACAAAGTATATAATTTATGGAAAGATCAAACATTATTAATAATTAGACACTTACTTTCGTGTGTATAGTACAAAATATAGATTCTGTAACAATCAAACAATAGAACTTATAGGAATGGTTAATGATAAATGTATAAAAAAATTATTAAAATAACTAATTGAAAACGTAAAAAATAGATAAAACAAAATCAATTATTGAAGTTGGTAACTTGATTTATTTCGAATAAAAAAATTGAGTAGAAAAAAGTCAATAATTAAAAATGTATTCTCTATACAGATCATAGGTTACATTATACTGTTATCGGTATTATTATCAGATATTGTTCAATGACAATCATATTACATATGACGAGAAGTTTTTTTATTGAATTTAAAATTAATCAAGTATTCACTGTTAAAAAGCCACAAACACACATAAATTATATATATATAATATTATGACTGCATGGAAAACTAATTGTTTTCACCAAATAAAACTGTAAGAAATATTGAATTCTTATCAGTGACTGACACTCTGCCTGACCAGTTAATCCCACCATTGCCCGCGCAATACAAAATTACCTATTACTACGAATTTAGATATACTTAAGTATACTTAAGGTTTACTGAAATGTCTGAAATAAAATAAATATAAATCCTATGAGCTGTAGTAAAAATGAAAACATTAGTCGTGTTAAAAAAGTATATCTGGTGAATCTACTTAATGTATAATATTATAATATATTAGCTACACCAGAATAAACATTTTAAACATATCATATCATTTAAATCATACTTTAAATCAGAGTAATGATTAGTTACACCTAACATAAATAAAAACAAAGAATTGTCAGAATTTGAATTTATCCAATAATTGTCAAATACCTAAACCTAACGTATGCAATTAGTAGACGGGGCAGAGTATAGGTTATATTTTATTGCCTATTAATTTCATGATTAGACCACAAGGTTTTTTTTTTTTTTATATACTTATATTTTCAACAATATACCACCTATTCACGAGCGGGTTTAAGGGGGTGGCTAAGTGGGCATTATCCCCCCCCCCTTGGGACTAAGCTATCTATTTTACAAATCAAAGTATTATTATATATTAATAATTATAATAAAATATCGTCAATGGTCATTGATAAATATGGTATCTATTTTATATAATTTTTTTTTTTTTAAATAAATAGCTCACTTTTGTTGTTAATTATATGTATTTACATATATTTTAAAATGGTTTCAGATTAAAATTGATACCAATAATGTAACTATTTAAACTTTGTCATTATTGTGAAAAAAATGACTTACTTATGAGGGACTCAAAAACATATTCTGTAATTTAAAATTGATAAATTATTGATAATGATAAAACCCGCCCCTGCACCTATTCAGGGGCAGATCCACAGTTAGGTACCTGTGGGTCAGGCTATTTCAAGGAGCCATTTATTAGGACTGAAACTGTATTAAAAATGTATCCATGTAACATAAAGATGAAAAAACATAAAAATAAACATGTAACATCAATATGATCATATAATAAGTGTTTTTAAATTAATTCATAAATATCATTTAAAACAAACATTTATTTTACTTTATAGAGGATTCCGTTTTACATAGGTTTCGGCATAGAAACTTTTTATTGTACCATACAATAAAACCAGTGGCGTCATTTACGGGGGTGGCAACTAAGGAATTTTTCCCAGCCTAGTATTAAATCTAACCTAAAGTCGGCACACTTAACGCTTAAAAAGTATAAAAAGTCTTCAAGAAGCCAATTTTGTCAACAAATATATGTCAATAAACTCTATAGCTTCTTTTTTTTTAAAAAATCAGCAATAGACCCACCACTTAAGTATACCGTAAGTCTTTAATAACAACTACCTATACCGCACGATAAGTTATTAAATTATTTAAATTTATAGTAAGGTAAAAGCTTCGACGATCGATCGAAGAAGTGATAGTATCATTTTTAGAACGTCATCATTGGTTGGGGACAATTCAAACGAAACTAAATATCGAAACCAACCTGCAGAAATTAATACAGGTAGAAGGAGACCGAGTATAACGTAAAATTTGCCCTTTTGTATAATATTATAATCGACATAATATAATACATTAGGCAGGCACACTGAAGAAACTAATTTTAAGAAATCAGTTTCATGAAACCATTCAATTAAAAAACAACTAGATAAGCACATTGAGTTCTCCAAATAAAAATTTTTCATAGATGTGCGACCACGGTTTCATATAAACGTGTATAGCAACATAGTTCCGGTCCAGACCAGTTGATTGAATTTCTACTTTACGTCAAAGCTTCCCATAAGCAATTTTTACATACGCCCTTGAAGAACATAAGTATATTAATATTTTTATAAAATAACAATATTATACAGCATTTATGTAACCTTCAATATACATTTTAATTTATTTTTAACAACGTATTTGAATCGTACAAATTGAACAATGTCTTGATAAATAATTGTTACGATTTTTTGTATTTATAAATATAAACGTAAATACTTTACGTTTTGACCTATATTTTATTTTATTTTTTTTTTTTAATGTTTGTATAAATTATAAATTAATACGATGTACTGTGGGTTCTACATTAAACAACCGATTGATCGGCGCTTAATACCTCTGCAACCGCACACAACTATACCTATGCTGTCCATCGTTTACGAGTGCAGTGAATCCAATATTTACGCCAGTGGCTTATTTATGAGGGTGCTGGGGTTTCCCCACCCCCAAAAAAAAATTTGAAAACGTCAAATTTTAAACATATCAGTAATATAATAATTTTAGTTTGTTTATTCAATAAGGTATTAATGTATTATGAAATATATATATATATATAAAAATATTAATCTCGCTAATAATTAAATTGTTATCGGATGATAATAATAATTAATAATAATAATAATAACAATCGACCGCACGGCACTCACAGACACATGGTATTTAAATAATCTGATGTGGGCAAATTATCGGTCGATATTTCGATGTCCTCAACTGCTATCAATTCATCGAAATTTAGACTTTCTAACCGATGAAGTTATTGATGATTTGACAAATAAAAAACGAAAACTAGAATTTATAATATAATTTGTAATTTTGTTATAGTAGTTTGTCAATAGTTTGATTTCAATAAGTTAATAAAAAACCTTACAAAAAGTTGATTAAGAACATTTTATACTAATTTAAAAATTATTTCACTATTAGGTATG